GGGCTGGGGAGCGCTCAGCTCGGTACCTCGGTGCCTGGTAGCGACCGAGGAGCCCAGCTGCCCACTCTGCGTCGCCGGAGTCTGCCACCGCCGGGCGGCCCCTCTGGGATGTCCGAGGGACCCAGGCATCCGGGACGGTAACGGAGCGAGGATGGGACGGCGCCCGCAGCTCCGGCTCGTCAAGGTGAGAGCGAGCGGGTCAGCCTGGATCGCCGGCGCCGCCAGCCCCCGGCCGGCGCGGGACAGGCGAGGGCTGCGGGTGGGGTGGGGGAGGGGCGCTGGGGAGAGCGGGGCACAGGTCCAGGGAGGCTGGGGCAGCCTAACTCCTTCTCCACGAACCTTTGCAGCCAGGCTTGGGTGGGTAGAGGAAGAACTCCGGGGGAAAAAGAAACCGTGTGGCGAAGCGCCGGGATGTTGGCGGAGGAGGGGTCCGCCCACCCGGGGAAGCCGCTCTGTGCCGAGATCGCCGCAGACTTTGGGGCCAAAGCTTGATTCCACCTCCCACTCCTCCCATGCAAACCCCAGCCCCGGCACTGGAGGCTCTGGAGGTGCGTATCCCTCTTCATCCCAGCACCCTCTTGGCCGCCCCGGGTCCTAGTCCTGGGCACTTTTTCCTGACCGGTCCCTCCGCGAAAGCCCCCAAGTCCAACAAGGTAACATTCGCCTGCGCGACTGGAGCCCTTGATTAATATCGCAGCCTCCGATGGAGCCGGTGCGCGGATCCGCGGGGTACCGCAGCCCCGGCGCGCAATGCTGGCTCTCCAGCCCGCCGTGCCGCTCGCGGTTTCGGCGCTGGGAGTTTAGGAAAGTCGCCAAACGGTGAATGCAGCATCCGCTGGATGAAGTTCGGGGGCGGCGAGGGGCTGTCCGCGAGTGGTGGAGCCCTGGGAAGGACTAGGCTCTAGTGACAGCCGCCACTTGCCGGCGCCGAGCGCATCCCCGAGCGCTGGGCTTGCTGGTTGCAGACACGTTAGCTGTTGGCTGCCGAGAAGGTGGGCGTGTGGGTGGGTGGACCTCCTTCCAGCCGCTGGGCAGCTCGGCTTGCGACTCACCCGACTCACCCGGGGTCGCCTGGCGCGGGTCTCAGGACTCCGCAGGGTCGGCGTGGACTGCCTGGGCCACAAACACAGACATCACGGCGGCTGAGTTCAGGGTATCCCAAAGCGACTCCAAAGACTTGAGTGGATTTGAGGGAGGGTTATGGATTGACAATTTTCTTTTCCATCGTTATCCACCAGCTGTGCAGTTTACCTGCTCACATAGCGGTTTGAGTTAAAAACCATCAAGATTTAAAAATGCAACCTCTGTGGGTTCATCCGTTGTGACTATAAGTTACCGAGGCTTTCACCGCCTTCTCTCCTAGCCAAATATTTACAAGTTTTTTTAAAAATAAATGAGGATTGGTCTCACTGAACACACATCACCTCCTCTACCCAATACCTGAGGGCTGAACCCAAGATTATTTTCTAGGTGTTGGGGACACCGTCAAAGGAAGTAGGAAGAAAAACATCCACGGAGGTTGAATAGATGGCACTGAGTGGGATATTTTCCCAAAGCCTCCTGTGTCTGGAGGCTTAGTCTAAATTCACAAATCAGAATCCAATGTTTTAAATGGATTCTAAGGATTGAAAAGTGGGTATTTTTTTCAAGTTTACATGGAAATAGAGAAATGTTCTTTTTCAGGCCTTTCTTAGAATTGTGTGCAAATTTCTGTTTAAAATGATCACATTTTCTTAAAAGAAAGTCTTTCTCCCTTCCCCCCTTTCTTTCTTTTTCTTTTTTGTGGTGTGTATGTTGTTCCCACTAGATGGTGGGTTGTGTGCCCCTGATGTCTGGCCTGATGGACTCAGTAGGTACCCAATAAATAGGGAATGAATGAGCAGCAATTAGTGCATGGAGTGCTTATGTATAGCATGTTCAAATTTCTGGGAATCCATCTAGCTGCTTTGTAAATATTAAGTCATTTCATCCTCATAACAGCACCAGGAACTCGGAATTCTACCTGAGGCACAGAGAGGCTCAGTAACTTGTTCAAGGTCACAGAGCTGTGAGGGACTGAGTGGCAGAGCCAGAATTTATATCCATGCATTCCAACCAAAGGCTTTGTTTTGTTATTCTAAGCCACTTAAATCACGCTCTGAACCTGTGCCAGAGGCAAAAGCAGGTAGTTTGGCCTGTTTGAATATCTGAATCTAGGGGATTTAGGATTAATCCCAAATCCAGCCAGTGTTGGGAAGGGATCCACTCTGGGGCCTGTAGAGTGGGCTTCACACTGTACAGGTGTGAAGAGAATGAGGGAAAGTGTATGTGATAGGTGGAGTATGTGTGTACATGTACATGCATGTTCATGGGTGAGGAGGAGACAGAGGAGATACTGTCCCAACCCCCAGGGAGAGATGGCGTGAGCACCTCCATGGCAGCCACCCGCCAACTGCTACTCTTCCTGAGAGAGATTTGTGTTCTGGTGACAGGTGACCACGATGGGTGGAGAAGGCCCAGGCCTAGCTGGGCTCTTAAAGGAGAGAGAATGCCGAGGAGGCTGCGGGTTTTGTTGCTGTCCTTATTATAAAAGCAACTTAACGGCATTAGGCAAAGTTTGGAAGCCTCGGGGGAATTACTGCGCCCTCACTCTCCTAATTTAGCTGCTGTAACATTATAGAAATGATTCTGGTGGTTCCTCTTCTCAAGCACAGGTTTGGGCACAGCTGTGGCTGTGGGGCGGCCCTCTCACTGCTGTATCAGCCCAAGTCTGTCCCCTATAGTTCCTGAGCCTTTAGAGGGAGACTGTTCATGCCTGTGTACGACCCGTGAGTGGACGTGCTTTGCCATCCTGCACGGGTGCCTGTTTGGGCCATTTTCAAGTTATTTCTTGGCTTACATGGTGTGGAGCCAGGTCTCCAAGCGGAATACTGCAGGAGGCTTGTGTAGGCAAAAGGTGCTGGGGGTGGGCTTGGGCTGCTGTAGGGTGTGGGACAACTGGCCTGGCCACAGACTGGGAGCAAAGTTGGGAAGGGGCCCGAAAGCAAGACCAAGCCTTTCTGATGTGACATGACCAGCCCTAGGGAGGGACACACAGTGCTCAGGGAGCGTATAGATGCTGACCCAGAGCCGGGGAGGATGAGCTCAGTGGAAGGGCCACGTCTCACCCTCGCTATCATGTGGCTCCTTGGAGAGGAGCAGCAGCCAGCTGAGGTCAGCCACACTGAGGAGTTTGGGTCAGAGGTACCCTTTGGCACCACCCAAGTGCCCATGATTCTTGCCAAACCCAGGAACCTGAGCTCCGGGCGTGGTGTGGACTAGAAGGAAGGGTTAGGAGCAGGCTGAGGATTTCAACAGCTAAAGGAATGGAAAGACCATTACGCTGGGAGCCAGCAAAGCAGACTTTGGTTCCAGCCCCGCCTCCAACTGACTGTGTGACTTTAGGTAGGTCATCTTCCCTCTCTGAGCTGAAGTTTCTCTATAAACAGGGATTTCGAGCAAGACTCCCTGTTCACATCACTCCCTTTCACATCTCTCGGAAAGGTCTGTGTTTCCAAACACCCCTTAGGGCTGTGACCTCCCATGGCAAGAGCCATGGGCAGCTGATTCCATTCCCATCCCTGCCTCCTCCCAGCCAAGGGAGCTTGGTGCATGGTACTTGGACCTAAGTGCTCTTTCTGGGTCTCTCCTACTGTCATTCCTACTTCCCAGCACTGGGCCTGGTGATGGACCCTGGGACCATTTGACTCAGTAATCATAGAAATGAAATCAAGCCAGGCGAGCAAACATGTAGGCAAAGCTTTTATTGGGGCTTTCATTTAGGAACGGAGCCAGCTCTGGCAAGAAGACATCAGGCCAGCTCCCCGGACAGAAGGAGGATCCTGTTTTCTTGGTTAGTTGCAGGGGCAGGAATATTCATTGTGCTCAACTCAAGCATTTTTCCCTGGGCTAAAAGATAAGTCACTGCAGCTGTCGATAAGCACATACCCAGGGTACCCCGAAATCAACAATGCAAAGCTGACATTGGTTGAGGGTGACACACACCAAGCCCCCCCGGGGCTGCTGTCAGGCCATGAGCCAAAGATCAGAAGTTCCTTTGTTCCTATGGTGGTCTTTGTCTCGGGCCTAAAGATTTATTGCACATAGTAGGGTTTAAGAAACATTTGTGGACTGGACAGATGAGTTTTATTGTTACTTCCTCCATTTAATATTGTGTAATTGGAGCAAACCTATCACTGTCCCCACAGGATATGGATGTCACGTCAAAACTGAGAAAGCTGAGAGGTGCTTAAACCACCCTAGCAGAAAAGCAATCTCTAACGCAGAAAAGACTAGAACTCCCCCTTAAGCCCACTGTGGTTATTAAAAATGAAAAAAGAAAGCAACAAACAACCAGTTCAGCACCCCCAGTGATTTGGAGTCGCCCGTGAGGGTGGATCTGCAGTCCTGAAGCTCCAGCCTTTCGCTGGGTGTGGGGAAGGGCAGGTTGGCAGGAGGTAGTCTGGGCCTTTCTAGCTCTCTGCTCAGTGAAAAGAGGGCTGGGGTGATGTCTCCCCCCCTCCCACTCCCTCCTAGCCATTCACAGTCTCAGCAAAAGGGAAGGTGAGCCCATTTGGGAGGTGAGGCCAAGTGGAGATTCTAGCTGCAATTTTATAGTCAAAGAATGAATTTGTTAATTATAAATGAAGTTCCTATCAGTATTACTCCTCTTGCCAGGCACAGTGATGTAGACTTATAATCCTAGAGACTTGGGAGGCTGAGGCAGAAGGATTACAAATTCAAGGCCAGCCTCAGCAATTTAGTGAGACCTGTGTCAAAATTAAAAACAGAAAGGTCTGGGATGTAGCTCGGTGGTAAAACATCCCTGGGTTCAAGCCTCAGTACCCAAAAAAGGAGAAACCTACAGGGAGGCTAATGAGAAACGATGAGTTCACTGATGTGAACGATCATTTTGAAGACAACTATCTGGAGTCTGATGGCCACTGATGGTCAACCACTTGTTTTCAGAGTAAGTGGGGTCTGCTCCAACACAGTGGAACGGCAGGCAGGGAGGGACGCAGAGGCGGCAGACTGTGTCAGTGTGGACAAGTGCTTCCTTTTCTGTGAAAGGGGCATGGCAGGGTTTTGTTCTGGAAGAGGGGTCCCTGCCACAGCCCACCCATTCAAATGCTTTATCCAAGCATGTTCTTTGGCGGCTGCCCGTCC